TTCACAGCACAGACTTACTGTCTCTGCTCATAGTCCAGCTCTGTGATTCTTTGATTCTGTGATAATAAATCAGTGGGACTATCTGGGGATATGTGACACAATAATCTCCACCACTAAACAGAAAACTCACAGCATAAAGTCTCAGCCTTAAAAACTGATTATATGCTCCAGACCAGGCTGGGGTCTCCAACAAGATACTGCCCTAAAACATGCTTCTCTGTTTTGTATTCAGCCTGTACTGCTCACTTGCACTTACTCCAGAACTCTTGCAAAATACAACCAAAATTCCCAGCAAACATCCATATATTAATTTATCTCCTCTCAGCTCTCCTGCTCTAAAGTTACAGGACATTAAAGAAGACATCCTCAGGTCTGTGCATATTTGAGGAGTAACATGTGAATGACAGAGAAAGAAAACCAACAATAAGGTAAGCAAAACATACACTTGGGACAGGAAGAGGAACAAAAATGTTCAGAGCTCTGCCTTAATTTCAGGAGGCCATTCCTATTCAGAAGTAGATGTAAGCATGAGCAGTAGCATGACTCTGAACCTATGTTTTCTGGTTTCAATTTGGGCTGGAGTCAGCAGTTCCAAGAACATTCTCTGTTTGTTCCCATTTAACAATTCAAAATGTCTACCTGTGCTTTCCCACAATTGCACGCTTTTTTTTTTTTTAATTTCAGTATCCTTTTTTTTTCATTTTGAATCCAACTTTGCCTCTAGGACAATTATTTTGCTGTATTTCACGTAGTCCTGTTGTGCTTGCTTCAAATAAATCAATCATCTTTATACTCTACAAAGTTGTTTGGCAGCATTACAAATGCACCGAAATATATTCACAATCCGATAATCTATGCTTTCTATTTGCAATCATTTTTCTGCCTTCTGCTTAAAAGCTAGATGGCCAATTTCCAGTCATAGGCATTCATGTCATCAGGATCTCAGAGCCATAGTAGGCCACAGCTTAGGCACTCCTAATGCCTAATGTGTTTTCCTGGACTGAGCTTCTCATAATTCAAAATATCTACAGTGCCTTTTTCATCAATGGGAAATTCAAGGATGCAAATGCAGAATTTTCTTCCATAATGCATACAGCCAACCTATGGGTTGATTAACTTCAAAAGATGTTTTGATAAATGGAGAAAAATTCAAGTTCCAAATTTGGGGGCATTTTTCATAGTTATTAAAAGAATATTTTTAAAATATTGAGCATTCCTGAAATAAAGTCCAGTTTAAATCTGTTGCAAAACTTAAACCCATGCAATTATAAGGATCTAAAATCATTGAAGGAATTCAGAAATGTACTCCTTTAGAGAAAATTTTTCACTTAAAAGGAAATCATAGCTTCTCAATGCTTTCTGAATACATTGATCATCTTCAGCACCAGCAGTGAGAAATCCCTGCAGCTCTCAAAGCACTCCTGAAAAACAGGTTCGACTTTTTATCTCAGATAATCTTTGGGGTGAGACTCTCAGGAACAGCTGCCATTGTGTCAAAATTAAGTATTTAGCTTAAGACCATTTAAAAAAAAGTCTGCAAAATGCAAAGAAGAAATAGAAATTCTGGCCTGGAGTATTGGTTTTTAAATGACCACACAGAACAAAATACATAATTATGCAAATTGTTAAACTGAGCTGGTTGCAAAAAACAATCTGGTTACAGGCAAGTTATTCAAATACTGACTTTTTTTTTAACTGATTAAAAACAGGCTGTTATACTTGGATCCTGAGTTATCTTTAGTTAAACACCACTTAAATCCACATTAAGTCACTGTGTTCTCAACAGATTTTAGATTGAGTCAGCTCTGTGCACCCTACAAAGGGTTATTTACCCTCTTAAAACAAACACCATTTTATATGACTGTTGGAGAGAGAGCTGTGTGAGTTTAATCAGGCATAACTCACTCAAGAGTCACCAAACAAGCTTGAACAAATGGTACCCAAGATTTGTCAGAAAAATATTTACATCAGTTTCCCCAACCCAGTGTTCAGAGCCATCTGGAAAATGAGAAAAAAAATGTTTCCCCCCTCAGGGAGGAGTAAGCAAGCAGTCAGTTTAAGCTCTTCTTGCAGAAGTTAAATGTGATAATGATACAACATCAATCACCTTAGGGGTGTAAGCAACGTCTGTAGCTCTGACCTCTTCCTGGTTGGGCAGGAATTTTCAGAAATGGTTTCTCAATACAGTGCACCCAGCCATACAGAAGATGAGTGAAGAGAGGGTTAAGCCATCACTTGTGCAGTAATCAGTGCTAGCACAAACTTAGGGAAAACAGCTTTTGCCTCTTGGTCTTTCATTGCTCAGTTGAAGACAACCATGAACAACTGTGAAAAAATCTGTAGATAAAAATTTAGATACAGCACTACATGCTGAATATCAAAATAAACATAGTCTCATCTTGAAATTTAAGGAGGGCAAAAAGAATCCAACCACATTGGATGACATTTTTCCAACACCCAACTTCAATAAATGCACCTTTTCATATAGAAAATAGCACAGTCTCTCCTATGAAAATATTTTTCTCCTGGCAGAAACACGTTTCATGCCTAACCTCAGATGGTCTGAATACTTTGAGAACAATCAGCCACTTATTTATTAAAAAACATGAAAAGACATTGATTTTCTTTAAAAAGCAGTTTTCTTCAGCCTTCATAACACAGACAACAGAATAAAAAAATAGCGTTGTTTTGCACTGCTTCCTTTAATTTTATTGAGTGTCAATCTATATAATTAATATAAAGTTATTTCATCATATGAAGATACCTTACAGTAAAAAATTCCCTGAGATACAATATGCAATTTGAGGGATCACATAATTCTCTATTCCATTTACATCATAATCAAAAAGTAATGGTAAGTCTTCACCTTATAAAACCCAGAAAATAATGATCTTCCTTTCTCTCCCTCCACCCCAATATTTTAAGGCATGGAATAAAAACTTTTTCAAAATGCATTTAAGGAAACTTTTCTACTTAAAATAGAGACTAGCTTTCCTCAATTTTTACAACTGGATTTTATACACCATCTGCAATGCCTTGTGGAGTCTGGTACCCAAGGTACAAATCAGTTCATTCAGGTAAACTTTATATTCGCCATTGAACTAGAGCTCTACAAAGTGCATTACAAAAGCTGGTCCTTTGCCTGTAACAGTACACTACTAGCTTGTGGTGGGATGACACCAAAAACCAGAGATTGATAGAAATTCTGTAACATTGACTTCAGCAGCTATAGATCTGGGCTGAGTTTCCTCCCAAACGGAGAGTCACAAATTTGCAACATCCATGTAAGAATGATGAAATTAGGAAAGGTTTCTCTTCTCCCAAACCAAGTGCTCTGCAATAATTATTACAAATCTGCATTTTGCATCATACAGTTCTTGAAAATCCTCAATGCACAATTTACAAATACTGTGCAATTTACAGTTGTGCAATTGTGCAAAATGATGCTTTAATTGCTTTGTAGCTCTTTTCTGAATTTTACAAAAATATTTCCTCAAAGATTTTAACACTTTTTTTTTAGAGAGGCTGAGAAAAAAAAATTAATGTTTGCGATCTCTGGAAATTCCCATGCTCCAGTAGCCTGACTTCTGCATGCAGCATTACTAATGACTACACAGAAGAGTTGTGTGCCTGGAAACTTTCACAAAATGCTAAAAAAATTAGGAGGACTCAAAAAAAATGCACTAGTTTCAGCAGACTGATAAAAAGTAGTGCAATCTTAAATATTATTTCATCACTTTTAAGATTAGGTTTTTGTATACAGGTATGTGAACTCTGATAAAAACTGAACAGAAAAAAAAAATTATAAATTCAAAGGAAAAGAGGGAACCTATCATCCTGACACTTAGGTATTACTGTTAATGCCATACCGAAATTGGAGTTTTAAAAGTATCAAACCCAGTATTATGGGAGTAGTACCTACTGACAGAGAAACAGATGACCATGCCATGAAGAACACTCTTTTACTTTAGACAATCACCTTATGCCTCTTGAAGTGAAAGTGCAGCATTAGGAATCATCCCTACTATATCCCACATTGCATAGATTGTTTTCACTCTCTTCCCAATAAATATTCTATAGCAACTCTGGCACTGACAACAAAAAGGTTCATCAAGTACTTTCAGCCAACCCTCCCTGCACAAAAGCAGAAGGGAATAATTGCAGAAGCCTGCAAGATCTGAACCGGAAAAACTGTGAAAATTATTAATGAATTTCATTATTATTAGTTTTTTTCCAATAATCCTTGGCACCATGCTTAATCATGGGGAACATCTATCTAGAAATAAATTACAGTAGACTGTCATACATCTTAAAAGCACTCATCCAGCATCTCATACTGCATTAATCAAATCTAATCCTTTCCTAACCTAAATATGACTCACAAATGGCAGTGAGGTTGCCTGTTCTGATGCCCCTCTTTCATTTGCACCTGTTCTGTTGCATCTTTTCCCACCTGTTCTGTGCCCATGATTTTATTCTGAATGAAGTCTCTGAGGAACTCCATGGATTAAAAAGCAGTGGAATGAATACCTTATTCATTTGGGCAGGTCTCTTGTAGGTTGTCATTTTTTGTCACCAAACTCCATAGCTGCAAAAGACAGGGAGACTGAGCTTGGCAAGGATGTGCAATTGTAACTGAAGTTTCTTTCTGGCTTTGGCTGAGCAAGATCACGTGTAGCCAAGAAGTAACCACACATCCACTGCTAGGATGGCTCCAGCAAAATGTGGGACTCTAAAAGAGAATAACTACTATAAATGTTCCTGACAGGCACTGAGCAAAGGGAGCTCGACCTTAAGAACCTATTTCTTGATTAAAGAACTGAGCCAGAAAAATACCACAAAACCAAAGGAAGAGAAAATAGTAAATCCTTCCCTTTTTATATTCTTTCCTCACACAATCTGTATTTTTCCCACAGTGTGGATCTTATTCTCTACAATAATTTTCTTTTTGAATGAAAATTATTTGGGAGTTTGGGGATTTTTTCTTAATTATTATTTAAAAAACAACAAAACACCATTCTGACTAGTCTGTCTCCCAGCAGAATTTTTAAAAATGCATGCCATAAACCAAAAGAGTTGCTACACAACAGCACTGTCTATTGATACTTGAGAAAAACGTAAGCGTTTCTGTATATATATATTCAATACAGTAATAAAACCCCTGCCATTCTGAGCCTTTCCCTGCATTTTCCTGTATGGCAATTATTTTGCAGAGAAAAACATGCAGATATCCGTAAACATTTTCTAATTCCTGAATAAAGGGAGGGTGGAAGTGTTCCAACTTTCTTCCCCATAGTCTGTGTTTGCCTGTACTTAAAAGTTCTACTCTACTTTCATACAGGATAAACATGCCTATGGTTTCAGCAGGTAGTAGGAGAAATACTTTACATCACCTGAGCTGTTTGTCCACTCAGATTCAGCCCCCTCCATATGCTTTTTCCTAATCTGAATAATTATTTGGTTCAAAGCATTATTAGCGGGCTGCTGGAATTTCAAGCATTGCTAAAAGGTGCTACTGTATCCTAAGATTCTTACATTCAACACTTGCGGCTCCGAATTTGTCTGTAAATAGCTTTCACACGCATAAAAAACAGTTTAAAACATTCATTTTTGTCTTAGTATTACAGAAAACCAGCACTGATCATGTATCCTCTGTGAGAAGAGGAAAGTTTCACGGTCCAGGAAGTTGTCATAGCCGCCAAAATTGGTTTCAGCTGTACAGCTGAGGAATTTGGCATTGGATATTTATGTTGAGCTATGCAGAACTTTCAAAGTCCTGTAACCGTACAACGTGTGGAAATTTAACTTTGCTCTTTAGGAATCATCTGGCATAATGTCTCTTCATATCTTCGTAATTTTCTTTTTAATAAAAATCTTCCTTTTGTAGGCTTTTCACAGCTTGTTTTCCTGTATTCGTATGCTTCTCCAGCTGATGCCAGTGTTCTGTGCCTAATGCCGACTGCCTGGGCTAATGATCTCTGTGGCACCCATGCTTCCCAACACCTTGGCGCTTGGCCCAGGCTGTCCAGGCAAGCCTCACCCGCCAGGAACATCAGCTTTCGAACCAGCTGGCCAGATTTCGAACAGTCTTGATTTGATTCCCAGCTGCCCTAACAGCCTCGCAGACCTTGCAGAAATGCTCATCCCAGAACGAGGTGACGTGGACTTCGTACTTCTTCCTCCAGGCAAAGTACCGCCTGTAGTTGGGTTTGTTCTTATCGAGGAATTTCAGGTAGGTGGCCAGCAGCCGGGGGCTGGGGAAGTCGTCAACGTGGATGAAGGAATCGGGGGGGATGAAGCGCTCGTAGTTGGCCCTGCGGGGTCCGAGGACGACGGGCACGGCGCTGGCGGAGAAAGCGTTTCTCCAGAGCTTCTCGGTGATGTAGTCGGTGTGCTGGGAGTTCTCGAAGGCCAGGTAGAACTTGTAGGCTGACACGGTCTCCACCAGGCCGCCCTCTGCCAGCGCCATCCCCCGCGCCCCGTACACGTCGATGGGCAGGTGCTCCTTCAGCTGGCGGTAGTAGCGCACCCGGGCGTGCTCCTCGTTCCAGTTGCTGATGACCCAGGCCACCAGCCGCGTCTTGCGGGGCAGGACGAAGGGCCGGGGCGCCGGCGGGACGTAGAGGTACCCGTAGGGGACGAACACGTCGGAGTCGCGGCGGTAGGACATGGTCCAGTTGAAGAGCCCGCCCAGCCCCCGCAGGCCGGGCGAGTGCGACGGCGACTCGAAGTTCATCCACACCCAGCGCTGGCGCGGGGGCCGCGGCGGGGACCCTCGGGGCAGCCCCTCGGCGCCGTGCCGCGCCAGGTCGCGGTGGTGGAACAGCACCGCCTGCGCCTCGCCGAAGCGGCTGCGGTCGGCGCTGAGCCGGCAGCCGCTGATGTTGTAGCGCCGCCGGCAGTCGGGCAAGCGCCGCGGGCGGCCGAAGGGCTCCCACCACAGCAGCACGGTCACCGTCTCGCCGTCCGCCCGCGCCGGCTCGGGCAGCGCCGAGTACAGGGCGAGCGCGGCGGCGGCGCCCAGCAGCCCGGCCGCCAGAGCCCACCGCCGCCCGCGCAGCCGCCGCCGCCACCGCCGCCAGCAGCAGCGGCCGCGGCACCGCCGCGGGGCCGCAGCCATCCCCGCAGCCGTCCCCGCAGCCGTCCCCGCCGCCCGCTGCCCCCGCTCTGCCCCGCGCAGGGCACCGGCGGCGCCGGGGCCGGGCAGCGCATCCTGGGGCTGGGGCTGCTGCCGCCGCCGCCGCTCTGCCCCCACCCCCGGCCCCGGCGGCGGGGAGGTGCCGGTGCTGCTGCCACCGCCCCTCCCGGCCATGCCGTCCCGTCCTCCGCCCGCCGCCTCCCGACCCAGGGGCCGCCCCCAGCCCCTGGCTGCCACCTTGCTCCGCCCGCCGCGGCCGCTGCCGCTCCGCCCTCGGGGAGTGCGGTGCTCGGGCTCCTGGAGGGATTTCGCGGCACCGCCGCCACCTCCGTGCGGCAACGCAGCCGGGGAGCTGCGGCCCCGGCCGCTCGGTTGCTCATGCCCGACTCGGGGCCGCAGAGGGAATTTGTGTCCCCGCACTCAGGAGGGATCCCCGGTGAGAGCTCAGTCCCCAGCACGCACGGGAAGGGTTGTAGGGGCGCTCACAAGGGGTCTCAGGGCGCCCGCACCCTGGCACCTCTGGTGGGTTGACCCCCACTTGGTGCCGCGTATCACAGACTCTTTGTCACTGCCTTCATCAGCAATTCAGATGAGAGAAAATATAACGGAAGGCTCTCTGGTCGACATAAGGACAGGGAGAGATCCCTCAGCAGTTATAGTCACGGGCAAAACAAAACCGATTTGAGGAAATTAATTTATTGCCAATCAAATACGACTAGGATAATGGGAAATTAAACCAAAACTGAAAAACTCCCCACCCCTCCCTTCTTCCTGGATTCAATGTCGCTCACAATTTCTCTGCCTCCTCCCCAAGAGTAGCACAGGAGGATGGGGAATGGAGGCTGCGGTCGGTTCACCACATGCTGTCTCTGCTGCTCCTTCCTCCCCAGGGGAAGGACTCCTCACGCCCTTCCCCTGCTCCAGTGTGGATCGTCCCACGGGAGACAGTCGTTTGAACTTCTCCAACGTGAGTCCTTCTCAGGGCTTTCAGTTCTTCATGAACTGCTCCAGCGTGGGTCCCTTCCATAGGGCAGTCCTTCAGGAACAGGCTGCTCCAGTGTGGGCTTCCTTTCTCCACGGGGCCACAGATCCTGCCAGGAGCCTGCTCAGCAGCGGAGCCTCTTGTAGGCATCCACCTGCTCTGGCATGAGGTCCTCCATGGGCTCCAGGGGAACATCCTGCCTCACCATGGACCACACACTGCAGGGGAATCTCTGCTCCAGCCCCTGCAGCACCTCTGCCCCTTTCTTCTGCAATGACCTTGGTGTCTGCTCTCACGTATTTTAAATTCCTTTCTTCTCTGGATGCAATTGCTTCTGTGCAATAACTTTTTTCCTTCTGAAATACATTATCCCAAAGGTGCTATTGCTGTCACTGAAGGGGTCAGCCATGGCTAGCAGTGAGTGTGTCTTGGAGCTGGCTGGTATTGGCTCCACTAGACATGGGGGGAAGTTTCTAGCACCTTCTCAGATAACTCACCCCTGTCACCCCACCACTACCAGAACCTTGCCATACACAAATTCCATACATGAGCAGATGTAGGAGCATGGGGCAGAGGATCATGGGGGGAGGAGAGCCCTGCCCATGAGAAAACAGGACTGTTCTGCTGCTTCTCATGTGCGTTCTCATTTATTTCTCCCAGTCCACACCTGAAACAGCCAGAGGTATAAAGTCTGGTGAAAGGGTTTTCCCACATCAGCTGAGCTGTGATTTGCACACTGTATCCTGTGGCCTCACAGGGAAGTACTTCGGAAGATGCAGGGGATTTTTTTAAAAACATGTAATTTAGAGAGTGAGGTTGAAAGCAAGTTTGAATAAGTCATTTAGGGGGAAAAAAAAGAAAAAAGAAGTGGCAGCTGCCACAATAGCTTTGAATTCCTGTCAACTTAAATCAGTTTCAAAAACCTCTAGGAGGAGTAACAATTTGGAAAACTAAAAGAAAATAAATTTTAAAAGAGGATTCTTTTTGCTCCTTTACAGCTTTCTTAGAATCATACATGTTTACTTTAAAATCTCAGTTTTTCAAAAACTACAAAACCTCATGGTTACCAGAAAATTACATTTTCCAGCTCTACTTCTCAGAGTTGCTGTGAAAAAGTACACCACATAGGCTCAGAAATTCTTTCCTAAGTCATTTGCTTCAGTGAACTGAGAGGTTGTTGAGTCACACAGTTCTAACAGTGTTTGTACAGAACTGAACAAGTTTTCAGCTCTGACATTGCACATGCTCATATCCAAGAGTTGTATGTCCAAGGTCCTCTCATATATACCTACTGAATGCAGCAGAGTTACACCAGGCACATATTCTCACTGACTGTTCGGATTTCAGCCCAGCTTTTACATACTGCATACAATCAAGGCCCTGTGACTTGACTCTATATTAGTAAAAAAGTGATTCAGGCCTGCTTACTCAAAAAAATGAAGCACAGTTGTGTGTGAGGGTGGTGTTAGGTTAGAAACTAAGTCATGTGCTTCTATAAACCTATTTTACATAGTCATTCCACATTGTGTACATAGTACTTCCATAGTCCATGCTGCAAGCACTCCTAAAATATAAGAAATTCCAACAGCAGTGGTTGGAGTTGGTATCTGGCTGCCTGCTTCAACACACAGTTGGTCAGAAGGGATCTCCAGGGAACGCTAGTCCACCCTAGAGGATGAGGTAAATCATTGCCAGCACTAGCACCTGTCTTGATAAATAACTGATTTTAGTCACAAAATGGGAATATGGGAAAGTTACTTTGCTACAGTAGAAAACTGAAAAAAATACAGAATTGTATTTCTATAAAATGCTATGGAAGAGAAGAATCCTGTGAAGCCTTAAGCTGTATGTAGATTCAATTCAGAGCCCACCTGATACAAGGAACACCACATAAAACGAACACAATCCCCAGTCTGCATTAATCAAGGATTCAAAGTGGTTCAAACTCACAACTGATTGTTTATTATTATTTTGTTTATTCAGACATTTTTCCAATAATATGAGAAATCTGGGACTTGTGAAAGTGAGTAGGAGAGCTCAATTGACTTCTGTGGAATTCTGATTCACTCAATAAATTTGATCATATCAACTACAATGACAGTTCTTATTTTCCTTCAGGAGCTTTCAGCATTGAGTCGTGACTTCAGAGGAGTCTTTATCAAGTCGTGTTTTCATATCCATTGCTTGAAGATTTGCTGCTAAGCATTCCAAATTCAAAGCCTGGCCAGTTACATTGATGATGCAAGGCCTGATCCTGCCTGTGGTAAGTCAACAAAAATGTTGGCATTAATTCGGCATTTATGAAATGTTTCACGACAATGTAATATGGAAATCTTTATAAGCCAAGTAGTGACAAATTTGAAAGACAAAACAAACAAACAAAACCTTCCCTTGTGAGGATTCATAGCAAGAGTTGCCTAGTTACTTTTGAGTTTTTGCAGTCTGAAATTGTGACTTTCATCTTCACTTCAGTGGCATCCATATTAAGACTAGTTATACCGAGACAAATCTTTTAAATTATTTAGCATGAAATCAAAACATGGTTTTCTGTATTCCTCAGCACAACATCAGCTAAAGCTCTAAACTGCATCTTAAAAAAAGCTACTACTGAAATCCACAGAAAGTTATGGTTGTATATACAACATTGATATCCAGAACTATAATAATATTTGGTTTATTATGGCAAATGAGAATTTAGTAATTTCAAGATGAGAAGACAGTAGCCTAAATCACTTCTATGAGTAATATTGTGACCTTAATTTTCCTGTTACACCTGCCGCTGTGGAAACTAAATATGTGTTTACATTTACATGTTGTATGTAGTCCTCTAGTTCAAAAATCTTTATAGAATTTATATCTAGAGCATGATGAAATGTATTTGAGATATATTTTAGAATTTTTACAAATTACAGATCCAACTGTTTTGTGGCTGCTGTCTTCAAACCCTCCCAATATGGGAAATCGCAGAAATACATTTTAATTGGATAGTCATCATAGTTACTAGTGAAAGTGATGATAGGTGTGCCTTCATCTAAAAATCTAGTAGACTCCTAGAAATCTTGGTGTAGTAAATTTAACAGCCAGATGTGATACGTTGCTGTAGAGTGACTGATACAGGGGAGTGACCTCACTGTCAGGACCAAAGTTGGAAGTCAGGTGTCCTCAGATCTGTGTGTAGGTGAGATTCCCTTTTTAATGTCTCATTTCTTGACTAGAGAAATAAATACCAGCCTGGCAGTAACCCATGTCAACTTCAGTTTGCCTCATTTCTGCCATAATACACAGCACATCCATGGCACAATCACATCAGCTACTTCGTGCTGGCAGGGTTTTGCCAAGCAGTTTTGTTCAGGAAAAACTCCATGGACATCACTGAGAAGTACAACATGATGAAGGTTGAGTAGTGTTGCCAGGTGCCTGAAGACCTCCCACACGGAGCACATCTGGTTTTGTCTGCTTTGGAGATAAACCAGTCCAGGAGATAGCCCCATGGACTGAGGACCACCCAGACTTCTTGGCACTATGTATGCAACTTGGGAGCACTTTAACCACTCCATGGAAATCACAGCAAGTTGTCATGTTGCTGATAGTTACAAATTTAAAATAATATACTCTGTGTTAGTAATGAAGCTGTTGCAAAATAAAAAATATTTTGCTTATTTGAAGGTTGAATATTTGCCCTCACTAACAGAAGTAAATATTTTTGCCTGGAACTTCCCAGCTGGCTTCCTCCTCTACTCTGACTCACTCTGTTTTGTCACACTTCAGAAATATTTAAGCCTAGAAAATTCTTTGAAGCTATTTGTCAACTGTTTTACAAAGGCAGTATAAAGATACTGTAAGACATGGTTGTGTTTTCAGCCACAGCTATCAACCCAGACATTCTGTCAGCCAGGGAACCTTGTGGAGCTTTTCATCATAAGAAAATGTGATCAGCTTCAAGGCATAGGAGAATGCTATCTGGTACCAAAATGAAGCTAAGAATGATGTTGGAGACTCT